GAATATTCAGGACTTCGCCCTGATACGAGCAGTCTTGTTGTTTCAATTTTCATAACGGAAGTAGCAAAATATTGGTGCTCGGGTGGGTTTTTTTTTCAGACAAATTTCGACTTTTTAACTAGCCATTTTTGACCAATTTTTTTTACATCATTCGAAAACTATTGTTGTCTTGAGCTTAAACGGAAAAAAATATTTCAACTGTGATAATTTTTCGTGAAGTTTTGAGGGTTTATAGATTGCCATTTCGGCCAATTTGGGATAACTAACGCGCGATATATTTTGCGCTATTAACGCGTGAGCGAAATTTAATCCGTCAAAGAAATCGTTCCAAATTATTTTAAGGAAGATTATATGCCATCATTGAAGTATAAATAGGAGCAAAATCTATCACTTCCTAATTAATATGGCAAGTGGGGTAATGTTTTCACAAACAGTCTCAAATTTTTTAGAAAAAAATTTAAATTTTAAATTATTACATTTAAATTTTCCAAGTTATTACTGCTCCATAAACCTTAAAAGGCAATCGTAACACTCAGTGCTTTGCCCTGATACGAGCAGTCTTGTTAGATTTATAGATAAATGCGAAAGTCTCCAGCAGAGAGCAGAAAAAAATATAAAACAGCATTTTTTTAAAGACAGCCACCTCCCCTTTTCCTAAAAAAAACTTTTAATTGAATTCAAGTGGCTGGTACTAGCATATTTTTACCTTGAATGAATGTTTGAAAATGGTTGAAACAGTCACCAAACGCTGAAAATTATGTCTATATGGGAAAACAGTAAGCCTGGATTTACAATTTAAAATTTTTTTAGAAAAAGTGAAAATTAAACAAAACTTGGGGCAAAACCTGGATATTGCAAGTGCCTTTAAAAATGAAGAAAATTTTTTTGGTTCCAAAATCGATTTGGTTGAAAGACTCACCAAACGCTGAAAATTATGTCTATATGGGAAAACAGTAAGCCTGGATTTACAATTTTAATACTTTTTTTAGAAAAAGTGAAAATTGAACAAAACTTAGGGGCAAACCTGGATGTTGCAAGTGCCTTTAAAGCTGAAGAAAAAATTTTTGGTCGAAAAATCAGTTTGTTTATCAAAATTTTTGGAAAAAATGAAAATATTTCCTTTTTAGTTTTGTCTTCCTTCTATCCTCCGCACGCAATGTAAAACACTAAGGATCTAATTATGATCTCGTATACTATAAGTAGGACCCAAATGCTTGCTTCAATTCACTATGGAACGATTTTAATTAGCACTTACTCTACGCGTGCTTTAAGAATGAAACATATAGCTCGGTAATTCTTTCAAAAATTATTTTTAAAGTTTGTCAACAACATTTCGTAAAAAGTCAAAATTACTGCATAAAAAACCACCCTACACACATTAATTTTGAAAGCCGCAACAAAAATATGACTTGCTTTGTAGACTCAATTCTAATGACTCAGGCAATTTGACTTTTTTCTCCTTTTTGCGATCTTTAATTGCTTTTTGTTGAACATAATAGTTCCGACTTTCGAAGAAAATGACAGAATATTTGTGCTCGGATTGGTTGCCTTGAGCTGGAATTTAAAACAATTCTAATGTGATTGTTTTTTGTAATGTTACAGGGGTTGTAAGATTGGCAGTTTGGCCAAATTTGGACAATTAATGCGCGATATATTACATACTAGTAACACAACGATGAAGCGGATACATAATACGTCCTATCAATTATCGTTCCAATTTGAATTGAGGCGCGCTATTTCATTTGTTTATTTATATTCTATATGCAAAGTATATCATTTTGTGCTTTATATGGCGTGCGGGGGATGATGTTTCAAAAATGGAAAAAAATCGTGTTTTTTGAAATTAAATCTATCAAATTTTTTCATGCGAACAGTACACTGTAGACCTCAAAAAAGCAGTCCGAAATTTCAAGGTTTCGTTTTGATACAAACAGACGAGCTGTCTGTTTTCAAATTTCTGATAGAAAAGAGTTTCGTATGCACTATTGACCAGATATGCAATTTTTTAGAAACTGCAACAGAAAAAAAACAACTGGATTAGTTCACAACAAAATTCACCCATTATTCTCAAACCTGATCCAATTTGCTTTTTTATCATGTTCTGATCCCATTTATTTTTTGTTTTCAAAAATTCTCCTATAAATTTCCAAAATCAACTGAATGTAACATGAAAATTATTTTTTAACAAGACATATTGGTACTAAAAATAGATAAATATGTTGGATGGTATTTTGTTGATTAACTCCAAAAAATATTCAAAATGTTGAACCCTGACTGTTCGTCATTCACCAAAATTTGTAATGAAGTTTTGACCGAATTTTCATTACAACCGAATATAGTTTGGCCCACTAATTTATGTTGGAAAAAAATAGTACATGTTGAAGGAGGAAAGAATTGCGCAAACAATAAATCGACTGCCAAAACTTGTTCCGCTTAGTTTGAGTAGCAAAAATGAACTGACCGCAGAGAAAGTTTGAAAACCTTAGACGATCAAGGAAGGTTATTTGGCAATATCTTGCAGTTTGTTGCAAATGAGGGGGTTTTCTTGCGAGATCTTGGTTCTTAAAATAAAATATATAATCATGTTTGAGCTGAAACGTTTTAGAAAGTCTGAACATTTCGGAAAGTTAAGCTGATGATTTTTTTTAGTTGCTCCGACAGTAAGAGCTCAAGTAGAAACTGTGAATAAGAGTTCAATTATATTCCGCAATGTCGATTGGATACCACATAGACACTCATGTACCGAGATTCAGAAAAATAATTTGTCAAATTGCAAGATCTGAAGTCGAAAGATTAGATGGCCGAAGTGATTGACAAAACTAGGTTTGCAAAAATTAAACTTTTGTTTTGAGTTCATTGGTTTTCTTTAGTATAATTCAAATTCATCGAATAATCTTGTGCTTTAATCGATTAAGGGTTGAACTTTACCCGATTAACATTTTCAATTGTAAATACTCTATAATATCATTAGAAAAGGGAATAAAAACTATAAACTTTTTCTGACCTTTGAGGATTCGAGTAAAAAAATTAGTATTATACGTTTGAACAGAAATAAAATTTTGATAAACCTGAATTTTTCGACATATTTTCAGTTCATCAAAGTGTCAGTGTTAAATTTTTTTTGCAACTTTTTAACCTCGGTACGGACTCCTTGTGGCCACGTCTTACTGTGATCGACTCATCAAAATTATCTGACATCTCAACTTCTTCTCCTGCTCTAAAAATCTTTGATGAGCGGTTATTATATTTGGAACTTCCAATTCTCATTGGTGGCTTGGCTCCAGGAACCGAATACAACCTTACTGTTACTGGTTTAGTTCGTCACTGTCCAAATGGCGATGAGAACTTGGTCTACTCAAGACTTATTTGCACAGGTTTGACACATAGTTTTCGTAGTTCATTGAATCCTAAGAAGCTCAAAAAGCGAAGCAGCTAAATTATCATGCAAAGTTGCTTACAGCTATTCAAAATGAATTTTTTGTATTATTTAAATTTTTTTAATCTCATATTTCGTAAGCTATTTAAAAATAGTTTTTTTCTTCAGACCCTTTTATTAATAACAATTTTAATGAGAGTTAAACAAGCACAATAGGAACGTCAAATTTAAAATTTAGTTTGAATTACAGTAATCAAATCGGTGGAGCAATTTAGCGTAATTTCTAGGTTTTGCAAATAAAACTGTATTGTTAAGTTTCAAAAATTAGGAAATCTTGAAGCAAGGCTACGCAATAACGTAAAATATCTAAATTGTTTTGTTAAATTGGTTAAAAAAAAAGACTCAAAAGATAAGGTTGATGAAAAAAAGCAACGGAAGCAAATTCAACTTTTCGTGAAAAACTTTTGAAGTTGTTCAAAAATCTGCAACATGCAGCGGCTATTTTCAATGAAATCAACTTGGTTTAAGAACCTGTACAAGAGTATCGACAGTTTTTTGCTTATCAACATCGACAAGTTGATCCTAATTGAGCTATGTATGATGTTTAACTCATAGAGTAATTTCGGATAGGGTACACCGTCTGCTCGTCACGCTATCTTTTTTTCGGCCGGATAGATTCGTGCAACTTCTTAGTCTAATACCGATCCTAATCTTACTCTTATATCTACTAGTCTCAGGGTGTTTAACTAGTCTCTGCTAGGCTCAATAGATCTAGAGTATACTGGTATTATTGCGGCCGCTGAAGTACTCGGGAGAGGCAACTAATTTCTAAGTTAAACTCAAAACTCTCTGGTGCTGAAATTACAAGTAATTTCAGCACTTACAAATAAGTGGGTTGTTAGTTAGATGGATCATGATTGGTTAATATTAATTATTTTACAGTGGTAAAATATCTAATTTATGAAATAATAAAATGTAGTTTAGATCAGGTTCCAAATCCTACAAGACAAGGTTCCGTCAAAATAATGAAACATTTCAGCTGATCTTACAATTTTTGATCACGATGAAATTTTGAGTAAAATTTCTTTTTGTTAACTAGTTTTGAGCGCATAACAATGGTAAGCTTTCAACTTACTCTTTTTAGCCAATGCCAACCCCAAAAGTTTTTTTTTGTAATTTTGAAAAAAAAACCAGTTGCATATTTTCGAGACTAGGAAGGTTTTGCCTTGCTCAATAGCATTGAAGATAGACCACGGGTCATATTTTATCAAATATAATATGTTTAGTTTACTTTTGAAGAAATATAGTTTACAAATCGAAGGTGATAAAAGTTACCATGCCACTGTTTTATGAGAAAATTCAGTTGAAGTTCTGGCTGGTTACTATCATGGATTGAAACTTTCCAACATAAATGCACTATATCGTGAAAGGGTACTTATCAGTAGAGTAACGGCTTTCTTTTTCTTTCTTCGTTTACCAAGTTAATTCAGCCTGACTGAGTTTCCCCTCGATTGGTCCCACTCGTCTGGAATTTGTGTTTTGTTGAATTAGTTTCTTGGTTTCAATAAAATAAAAGAAGGTTTGTTTTGATTTTCGGGATACTTCAAACAGGGGCAATTTATTGGGAGCTGGGAATGCCCACGTGGCTTACTTTCATCTGGGTAGACAGTTAAATCCAGTGACAGGCGGTAAAGCCCACGATTAATTCTACAGCAGTTTTGAAGAACGTATGCAAACCTTCCTTCCTTTTTACCAACTGTTTGTGTTTGCAGTAACGCTCAAAATGATTCCAGGAGAAAACCAATCAGGTTAGTTTTTAAAAATTAATTCGCACAATGACGCCCACGACGCATCTAGCTGCATTGACTTTCAACCAATCAGACATTGTCGTTTCGCGGCATTGTTATGTAATTGGGTACTCGGGTGATAAAAAATGTGGTTTCAGATTCTCAAATAAGATCAGGTTCAAACCTGTCCGTACACGACACATTTTTTAAATTTTGGGTAAATGAGCCACGTATGTAGGGATGGGGTGGTTAAGTTATACACTACTAATAGATTATAATCGATTATAAGGGTTTATATTGGCATCATATGGGAGGCACTTAGCACAGTGGTAAGGCGTTCACTGTGAAAGCGTCACATCGTGTAGTCGATTCCATGCCATGGCAAGGATATTGTGTGAGGACAAGCTCTCACTCGACCTCCAGCTTCAGGTCTACCACAACCTGACCAAATTTGGCTGCAATAGTGGTACCACGTAAAACTTATAGAAGCAAAAAAAGGCCTTGAGTCGCAAAAAACAGCTTCGCTCAGCAAAAAAATAACACTGTCTGGAATGTAGGGAGATAATACAAACGGACTATCCTCGACAGGTCTGTTAAGGCCCACTGATAGCTCCTCTGCGATTCGCAGTAACGACAATTATTATTATAAAAACTTTAAGGATTATAGTTCATTTTTATTAGGTTGTAATGGGTTCTTTTATATTTTCATGGTCACTGACACTATAATCTTTTATGATTATAAAAAAACAAAAGCTAGTATGCAAATGCAAAAAGTAGACTGATTGAGCCACTAAACTTAATGAGTCATAAAAATCAGACTATTATTGTAAACTGTTAATTTTATTTAACTGAAATTATATAAGTTTGTCAAAAAGGTAGTTATAGAAAACGGATTTTTTTCAAAACTCTGATAAGGCAGAGCCATTATTGAAGTTAGCCACCAGGAAAGATACTACTATTTGCACATTTATTATCATTACTGAAACAAGAAGTTTGGACATCATTTTTTGGGATTAAAAATTGACACGAATGAAGACATTTTAGTGAAATTATTTTCTCCATTAAACACAGTTCAGCAGTTTCTATAAACACAAAACAGAGAAAACTTTTCATGATGATAATCCGTGGATTGTTTCAGTTGAACTGAAGTGAAGGTCTTGCAGAACGAACCCAGGAAAGTTTCGAGTTAACTTTTTCAAGGTTCAAAGATAAAGCTGAAATTTTCTAAGACAGAGCATACGACCATTTTGAGACACTTGACACCCTCTTCGCAAGCCCTGTAGCAAGCGTTGGCACTTGAAGGTGATAACGTCGTGGGTTCTGTGTAACCCGGAGGCAAGTAAAAACCATATTCTTCGTTTTGCATCGAAATTGTTTAAAAAAATCGGCATTTGCTATTTACACGAACATCGACTTTTTCAAACATTCGTTAATTCTCAGGTTGATCTGTAGTGCTGATTTAAATTATCCGGACAAAACGAACAAAACTTGAATTTTTAAACTCGTTTTTCTCAAATTGCGTTAAGATTAGACAAAAAGTGAAGAGAACAAAAGCTGCTTAGAATTTCACCAGAATTAATATGATGCCATTTTTTCTACGAAATTCTCTACCAAAATTTTACCCAAATATGGGTGATTTTGGCTTTTTTTAATTAATCAAGAATTACGCTGAAACTACTTTGTTAATTGATAAGAATATTATATCATTAGAAGCCTCTTACGCAGCCCAAAAAAGTTTAAGAAGGGTTAATTCTCCAAAACCAGTATAAGAGAAACAATTTTCACTTGATAATCAATAAATGTGATTTTTACTACATAAAACCCAGAATCTTTGCTTAAAAACAAAATTAACACAATTTGCGCAAATTTTTGGAGAATTAGATCTTCTTAAACTTTGATGGGCTGCGTAAGAGGCTTCTAATGATATGATATTCTTATCAATTAACAAAGTAGTTTCAGCGTAATTCTTGATTAATTAAAAAAAGCCAAAATGACCCATATTTGGGGTAAAATTTTGGTTGAGAATTTCGTAGAAAAAATGGCATCATATTAATTTTAGTGAAATTCTAAGCAACTTTTGTTCTGTTCACATTTTGTCTAATCTTAACCCAATTTGAGAAAAACGCGTTCCAAATGTCAAGTTTTGTTGGTTTTGTCCGGATAATTTAAATCAGCACTGTATCCTTGATCGGCCAAACGGCTTACAGCAAGAACTTTTTGATGAAATGGTTCAATCATTCCAACTAAAATTAATCGTTTGCAAGTCAACATTTTATAGTATCTGTTAATATTCAACATATTTTTTGTCCAGTGTTTCTCAGCAGGTGCTTCATAAATAAAATTAAATAAATACCCTTTAAATATATCTTATCATCCATACACAAAAAGTGAGTTTATTCAAGAGTTCTGTGAGTCGACTGACAACTCACAATCATTTAAATTTAATAAGATACTCTCAAGCTATTATAGACGACAAAGATTTACTTGATACATTTATCACAACAAATACTCTCGATGTTACTAACAAAACGGTTCCTACTCACTGGAAAACTCTAATCGAAAGATTTAAAAAAAAATGAAAGATCAAAAAACATACAAATCAATCGTATGTACACAAGACTTAGAAATAGGTCACTTGGCAAGAGTTTTCATAAATTATGTTAAAATATGTGGAAACAAAACTTCATTGAAACGCAAAACGAAGGTTAAAAAAACTAATGAGACAAGCTACTCGAAGAAACTCTGTAAATTATTAAACGAGAAAGCCTCTACCAGCAAAGAAACCCGAAAGCAATGTTCAACACTTTCAATAATCAAGAAATAGCTTCAATTTGGTAAACGTCCTTTAAATACTAGGTTGTTTCTATAACTTAGACACCAAAAGCAAAACTGTAATCTTGTTCAGATTCATTATAAGCATATACTTCAAAAGAAAAATTCTCAAACTTAAAGAAAAAACTACAAATCCCATCTGATATTTCATCACGTACTCTTAAAATTGCTTGCAAGGAAAACTACACACAACTTTTTTTCTTCTCAATGAATAGCTGAAAAACGACCTCTTTCTACAAAAGCTAAGAATATCCATTGTCACCCAATATACAAAAGAAAAGATCCTGAAGTAGTTGAAAACAACAACCTAACTCAAATATTGGAGACTTATCAATCAGGTTTGAAAAAGTTTATATAAACAAAGTTTTGATTAAACTAACAAATCTGGAAACCTTCTAAGCATCACTCAATTTGGCTTTAGAACATCCTACTCTTGCTATTGATGTTTTTTTTTGTAGAAAGCATTGTATGAATCGATTGATAAATAGCTGTTATGTGCTCTTTTTTTTAAACCTCTCGAACGAATTTCAATGTATTGACCACAGTTTTTAAAAGATCAGCAAAATGAATTACGCTTTCTTGATCCCGCTGTAGACATATCAAATTTTTTAATAAGTACTCATTTCAAAAAAGTAGTAAAATAAAACTGATCAGAATGAATAATACTTCATCAATGTGTCCTACAAGGCACCGCATTAGGACCTCTCATTTTCAGATTGTAAGTCAATGATCTAAACAAGCAACTGACTAACTCATAGTAAGTGTTGCAATACGCTCATGTCAAAATTCTTTTATATGAGATTGAAAACATCGAAATTGCACTAAGAGAGCTTGAAAAAATTTTCAGTGTTTTAGCAAAACACTTCCGGAGACACTTACTTCAACACGCTGCTAAGAAAAATAGAAATGTTATCCTCTGTAGAAAACTAGTCAAATAAGAGGAAAAAAGAAACACCATTGCTCAGGACAAAAAAAAACACTCATTTTTTTTTTCTTCAATTGCTCAGGAAAAATTGAAGAAAAAACTCAAAGTCAATTATTTGGCAGCGTGAGTAAGCAAACATATGACATTTCAAGAAGAAGTTAAAATGCTCTTAGTAAAATTGGCCTAAGTGATTAAAACAAAACAGTCGACCAAAAACATGTTCCTAATCAAAACATTACTGCTATTCATGCTCGAATTCGTTATCTGTCCACTAATCTATCTTGTCATCTTATTAAAAAGAATTTCAGCAAAATAGTTAACCTCGAAAAACAACTCTTCTGGGCAATTGAAACATGTTGTGGTTTTGCAAAAATTGAACCAACATGCGATCCTACTTAGAAACAGAAGGTATATCTGACTGAAAAATAAATTGACCGGAAAATAGTTTGTCATCTCTGGAAATCAAAACCCTTTCTCTAACCAGTTTACGAAAAAAAAATTTTTCTAGGATGTCAGTAACAATCTTGAACAGGTCACATGTTGACAAACCAATTTTTAGAATCTCGTTATTAAAAACGTTATTAATAGCTGAAAAACGACCTCTTTCTACAAAAGCTAAAAATATCCATTGTCACCCAATATACAAAAAAAAAGATCCTGAAGTAGTTGAAAACAACAACCTAACTCAAATATTGGAGACTTATCAATAAGGTTTGAAAAAGTTTATATAAACAAAGTTTTGATTATACTGACAAATCTGGAAACCTTCTAAGCATCACTCAATTTGGCTTTAGAACATCCTACTCTTGCTATTGATGTTTTTTTGTAGAAAGCATTGTATGAATCGATTGATAAATAGCTGTTATGTGCTCTTTTTTTAAACCTCTCGAACGAATTTCAATGTATTGACCACAATTTTAAACGATCAGCTCAATTAATTACGCTTTCTTGATCCCGCTGTAGACTTATCAAATTTTTTAATAAGTACTCATTTCAAAAAAAGTAGTAAAATAAAACTGATCAGAATGAATATCACTTCATCAATGTGTCCTACAAGGCACCGTATTAGGACCTCTCATTTTCAGATTGTATATCAATGATCTAAACAAGCAACTGACTAACTCATAGTAAGTGTTGCAATACGCTCATGTCAAAATTCTTTTATATGAGATTGAAAACATCGAAATTGCACTAAGAGTGCTTGAAAAAATTTTCAGAGTTTTAGCAAAACACTTTCGGAGACACTTACTTCAACAAGCTGCTAAGAAAAATAGAAATGTTATCCTCTGTAGAAAACTAGTCAAATCAGAGGAAAAAAGACACACCATTGCTCAGGACAAAAAAACACTCAATTGTTTTTTTCTTCAATTGCTCAGGAAAAATTGAAAAAAAAAAAAAACTCAAAGTCAATTATTTGGCAGCATGAATAAACAAACATATGACATTTCAAGAAGAAGTTAAAATGCTCTTAGTAAAATTGGCCTAAGTGATTAAAACAAAACAGTCGACCAAAAACATGTTCCTAATCAAAACATTACTGCTATTCTTGCTCGAATTCGTTTTCAGTCCACTAATCTATCCTGTCATCTTATTAAACAGAATTTCAGCAAAATAGTTAACCTCGGAAAAACAACTCTTCTGGGCAATTGAAACATGTTGTGGTTTTGCAAAAATTGAACCAACATGTGATCTTACTTAGAAACAGAAGGTATATCTGACTGAAAAATAAATTGACCGGAAAATTGTTTGTCATCTCTGGAAATTAAAATTCTTTCTATAACCAGTTTACGAAAAAAAAATCTTTCTAGGATGTCAGTAACAATCTTGAACAGGTCACATGTTGACAAACCAATTTTTAGAATCTCCTTATTTACTGAAAAGCAAAAACAAAATTTATGAATCTTTACCTAATTTTATTTGAAGAAGATCCATCCACCTGTGGCATCCTATGAAAACTTTTCATAGAAAGATTTATATTCTATATTTTTGATTAATTGGCAAAAATAATAATCATAATTTGACTTAAACTTGTACATATGAAGATACTTTCGACTGGCAAATAAACTTTTGGTCTTTGATTTTTTGATGACGTTATCAAAATCACCCTGGTCGACAAAAAATCATCTATATCTCTGTTTTAATTAATCGTTCTCAAAAGAAAAAATTAGCTTCAGAACTGAAGTCTTTTGTTTCCAAGCTAAACACGTGTTACTGAAAAACACACTGATACTGTTTTATAACGTAATCGCAGTTTTTCAAAGATTTGTTTTAGTTTGATTATAATTTTTTTACAGCTTTCATCTAGTTTGTTTTGCTACCACAGTTTTTAAATGAACAGATTTTAATGTATTTGGTATTAAGTAAACACGTGCGCTCAGTACTTACCGCAAACAGGTGAGCTATTTTTCTTAAACATGAAACATGAAAAAACATCCTGGTTGAAGTCTCATGGTTAAAAATGCTGTATCTTTTGTACCCCAGTGATCACTAAATTCCCTCACTCTCACTAATCCACTGCAATTCCTAGTTTTTTTGCAATGGGTAATCTGCGATGTCTCACGGCTTTCTTAGTAATGAT